TAATCAGCGAGTATATGATAAAAGATTGGAGCAAATTGAAGCAAGTAAGTTTTATTTAATTATTTTAAATATAAGCTCTTTCAAAAAAAGAGTATCAGCGTTACCTAATATTTTTAGTTTGTATATATATATATATATATATATATATATATATATATATATATATATATATGTACAAATATTTTAAATTGTATTCTACAAAATAGAGTGCTCAATGTTCTTAAAAAAACATAGCTATAATAAATTAGTAGAAAATCACATATTAAATTTTTTTCATTTTGATGAGTCTTTATTGATGAAACACAGTGTAAAATATAAAAAAATTTTATTAGTAATTTTTTACTAATTTATATATACATATGGATTTTCAAAATACTTGTAGCTATTAAGTTATAATGTAAATGACAATAAGATTGTTAAACTATTGATAACTTTTTGTGTGTTATGTAATAGATAATATATAAAAATGAAAAGAATTGATCTTCTTCAAAAAATTAAAGGACTAGGTTTCAATAAAGTTAATTTGCTGGAATCTTTGTTTAAAGAAGTTTTAAATGTTTATAACCTTCATGAAGATGACTTCAATAAATCAGAGCTTACCAACTTAAAGAATAAGTTGTCTGTTTTTAAAGCAAAAGTGGGAAATAAGTTAGAAAAGCATAATAGAAACTATGACAGATTGATTTTAAAAGAGGGTGTATGGCTACAGGTAAGGAAACAAAAATATTTCTTAATAAATTTTTTTTATGCACTCATTTTATTTAATTAAGTTTCTATTTACAGGAGGAGTTTTTTCCAGATCTTGTTAAAAGAATTAAATCTAAAGAAGGTCCAGGTAGAAAAAATAAAGTTTGGGAAAGTCTTGGTGAAAGAAGCAAAAGAGCTAAAATTGCCCATTTGGCTGAAAACAATCACGAAGCATTGGCTTTAGCTTCTTTAAAAAGTGCTGCAACTGAATCCAACATTAATAAAAACAATTTTATCTTTATAGTAAAGAAGGCTTTGGACCCAGATAAAGCAAATGAAATTAGAAAAAACATGTCTATGCATGAACCTATTAAAATGAAAGTTGAAGATGCTCTCAGCCTAAAAATTCAATGTGATCTGTCCGATGAACAATATCAGATAATCAGAAATAGCTCCCTATTACAAAATGCAAACATCTATCCGTCTCTTCATAAAATTTTAACTGAAAAAAAGAAATGCTATCCTCATAATATGATTTTTTCAGAAACATCTGCAGTTTGCTCCCTTCAATCTCTTTTTAATCTCACACTGTGTAGAGTCTTGAGTCTAAATAGTTGCAACAAAATATTTTCTGAATTATCGGTTAAAGATATCAATTAACATGGAATTATGCATTTCAAAGTTGGTTTTGATGGAGCGTCTAGCCAGAGTCTGTATAAACAAAAATATTTAGATACAACTCTAGATGAAGTTATTAAAAATGAAGAAAGTATTTTCCAAACATCTATTGTGCCTCTTAAACTGACTGTTAATGATACAGTAATCTGGTACAACAAAAAGCCATCTAGTACACATTTCTGCAGACCAGTATGTTTGCAGTACAAGAAGGAAATAAATGTGCTAATTAAAGAAGAAAAAAAACGATTACGGATTGAAATTCAGAAACTTGAACCATTTGTAGTAAGTTTAGAATCAAAACCGACTGAGTCATCTATGATGACAGCAATTATAAAGTATAATTTGGATTTGACTATGTTTGATGGTAAGGTTATTAATGCACTGACAAGTACTACCTCATCTCAAAGCTGTAATGTATGTTCAGCAAACCCAACAGAGATGAATGACATTAAATTGATTAGATCTAAACCTGTCAATAAAGAAGCTTTATTTTTTGGCCTTTCACCTCTTCACTGTTGGATAAGATGCTTTGAGTACATTCTTCACCTTGGATATAAATTGAAAATTAGGTCATTTTATGCTAAAACATCTGAGCAGAAAGAATCAGTTAAAGAAAGAAAAGCGTTTATTCAAAAGAAGTCTAGGGAAAAACTAAGTCTTATTGTTGACATGCCAAAAGAAGATTTTGGAAACACTAATGATGGTAATACTGCCAGAAGAGCCTTTGAGGAATCGATTACCTTCTCTGAGATAACTGATGTAGATGTTGACATCATTTCTAGATTTGAAACAATTTTAAAAGCAGTTTGTTCAGGATATGATTTAGATCCAAGCTCTTTTCAAAGTTATTGCAATAATACAACAGATAAAATTCTTTCTGAATATAATTGGTATGTTATTCCTCCAAGCGTTCACAAACTTTTAGAACATGGTTTACAGATTGCCAATGCATTAGAACTTCCCATTGGAGTTTATTCAGAAGAATCACTAGAGGCTGTTAACAAAGAGATTAGAAATGCAAGGTTAAACCATTCATGCAAAATTTCAAGGATAAATGTTATGAAAAACCAATTTAACTATCTTATGATAAGGAGTGATCCAGTTAAATCGAGCATTCAATTCACTAACCATAGATGTGAAAATGGGAAATTGCTCCCAATAGAAGTTCTTTCTCTCCTTAAACAGTCGTGATTTTTTTGAGAATTTTATTTTTTATAGATACATTTGCATCAAAAATTTAAATTTAAATTTAGAATAGTTATAATAGTAATTTTCAAAGTATATTCTAATTCTCAGAGTATAATTATTATATGCTCTTTGTTGATGTCTGAATTTTTTTTAAATTAATTATCATTCTTTCAATCATTGTTTTTATCAAAAGAGGAGGGTAATAATTGATGAAATAAATTTGAAATAATTAAAAATAAATTATTTTATGAACTAAAATTTGAAATAGTTATAATAGTAATGCTTAAAGAATTTTATTGTATTCTTTTTATTGAGGAATGAATTTTTTTTTTTTTGAAAGTTCTTTCAATCATTGTTTTTAACAAAAGGGGAGGGGCCCGGTAATAATTATGACATATTTGGATGGTAGTGTACCGAGTGATCACGCCTGATTACAAGTTGGAGAGAGTTAAAAAAAAGTTTAAAAATAAGTTATGTATTTATGCAAAGTATTACTTGATTCGAGAAGTTAAATTAAAAAAAAAAAATCTGCTTGCGCGTATCAAATTTCTTACGTAAGTAATTTTTAGATACGCGCACGTTTTGCTGGTTGTTGCGCGTAAAAATAATTTAAAATTACATATTTGATCTTTTGACTAAAAAAATAATAACTTTTTCTTTAATACATATTAACATGCGATGGTTATATAATTTTTGCCGTTTTTTCTTCAATTTGAGTCACTGTGCGACGCATAAGCACGACAAGATTTTTGACGTCATTAAATTCTTTTTATTTGCTTTTCATATTTATCGACATTAACTGCACCAATTTACTTAATTACCGCAAAACTACTTTAAATCATTAATGTAGAAATGTTATTATTTAAAAATGTTTTGGAATGTTTCATTTTTTAAAATGTAAAAACATTTGCTTATTTTCTCGACATTTGACACATTTTGTCTATACTAAAGGAATAAAAAACATAAGTTTTTCAAATAAATATTTTTTCTTTTTAAAAAGTCAGAGAGTAATAAACTGGAAATTTTAATTTTGTACGATTAAAAACTGTGCAATAGCTAATATTTTTACTAGCGATTTTATATAATATTTTTTTATTTATTTATTTTTATTTATTTTCATAAAGCGGTTGATAAGCACAATCACTCGTATTATTAAAAAACTTTAACGAACGTTTTGAATAGATTTTTAATGTTTACAAGGAATTTTATTTTTGGTAAAATAAAATAAAATGTTAGAATAAAAATCTTTTAGGTATAAAAGAAATATTTCAGCGAAAAAATTATTCCTAAAAATTATTATTAAAAATTATTCGAAAAACTATTGACGTTCTATTTTTTAGCAGCTGTTCTTGAGCACGTTTCGTTGAGTTTCGGTAACTTTAACAAAAATGCGATTGTTATTATTTAATTATTTTTTTAATAACTGTTCTTTTTTATTGAATCAAGTAGAATACGTTTTAATATTATTCCTTTTATTTTTTTTTTATTTGCGCTTACTAATTTTAAAATGTTTACTTGAAATTACTCTTAAATACTTTAAATTCTTCTAACAGTTAAAAAATATTTTTAAATCTATGGAATAATTTTAAAACCTAACAAACCCCGGTAAAATAATTATTTAAGTTAAAATCTAAAACTAAAAGAAAGTATTTTTGTTCAATTTTATCAACAACTTTGCTATTGCTGATTAATTTTATTAAAATGCTAGCTTAAAAAGATTTAAACTTTTTTTTAATCTGAATTTTTTCTACTAGTAACTAATGAGCATATTTATTTTTTTTGTAATTCAAACTTTTAGATTTAAAATACTTTATCAAATATTAAAATAATCGTAAATTACTTCATTAAAATTCCGCTCAAAAATATCTTTAAATATACTCAAACAAAAATTTTTTTGCTCGAAGCAAATAGCCCTAGCACGCAAAATCGCTCTTGGACGACGTAAAATTTACATCGCCCGACGCTTTATTGCAAGGCCTGATATATATATATATATATATATATATATATATATATATATATATATATATATTTCTATAATACTTTTGTTTTCAGGTTTATCATTTACAAAGTTTAAATTAAATTATTGAAAATGTAGTTTATGAGGCAAGATTTGTGAAAATATAATGTATTTAACCGTGAAAATTTGTGAAAATTTATGTATTTAAAAAAGAAATATTACAACTTTTTATTTTTATCGCTGTTGCTTTCACATTGGTATCAGTGTGTTAATAAGGAAGTAATTTTAGAATTGCATAACTAAAACTTTTAAAATTAACCAGTATTTGATTTTAAATAAAATAGTAAGACATGACTATTATGACTCTAATAATAAATTACGTTTTATTTTATTTTTTTAACCTACTATATATATATTTTCAAAAATTATTTTTTTAAATTTTGTTTTAAGATTAAAAGTTCATTACAAAAATTTAATTCTTTTTTAGCAAAATTAGATGAAACTGATAATCGTATTCCACTAATTTCAACATTAAAATGTTTTGTTGCAAATTCATTTGAACAAGATGACTTTATGCAAATGGAACTTAATATCATGCAGTCATTGGATTGGAGGTTTTTTGTTTTTGTTATTGTTGTAATATTTATTGTTTTAAATTTAACTATACTTTGTAAATTTACTAATTGTATTTATAGTTACAAAAAAAAAAAAAAGTTTCTTTTTATTTAATTTATTTTTTGGATGATTTGTTGGTTTTTATGTTGTTTTTATTTTGTAGGTTTTAATTTTCTATTTCAACTTTAAAGTCAACAAAAAATAGTGACAAAAAAACTGTCATAAATATAAGATCAAGTTTTTCAATTTAAATAATTTTTCAATTTCTACTGATTCCATAAGTTTTACAAAATACTTGCTTGTAATTATGAAAGTATTTTGTAACACGCTCACGCACACACACAGATATATATATATATATATATATATATATATATATATATATATATATATATATATATATATATATATATATATATATATATATATATATATATACAGGCCTTGCGATGAATAAAAACTGCGCGACACATAAGCAGGACGTGATTTTTGACGTCATTAAATTCTTTTTATTTGCTTTTTAATATTTATTGACATTAACTGCACCAATTTACTTAATTACCGCAAAACTACTTATGTAGAAATGTTATTATTTAAAAATGTTTTGGCATGTTTAGTTTTTTAAAATGTAAAAACATTTGTTTATGTTCTCGACGTTTGACACGTTTTGTCTATACTAAACAAATAAAGGTTGATGTTCTATTTTTCAGCAGCTGTTCTTGAGCGCGCTTCGTTGAGTTTTGGTAACTTTTAACAAAAAAGCGATTGTTATTATTTAACTAATTTTTCAAGTAGAATACGTTTTAATATTATTCCTTTTATTTTTTTTTTTATTTGCGCTTACTAATTTTAAAATGTTTACTCGAAATTACTCTTAAATACTTTAAATACGTCTAATAGTTAATAAATATTTTTAAATCTATGGAATAATTTTAAAACCTAACAAACCCCCGTAAAATAATTATTTAAGTTTTTAAGAAATCAAAACTTTCATTTGTCATCTTAAGAGCACAAGAACATTTATGCAACTTTTGATTGCATTAAAAAAATTTACTTAAATTTCTATATAGTAATAAATGATTTATAATTAACTTTTTTTTTTAATTGTAGTGATTTATTTATTTGCTTGAAGCTTGAAGCTTGAAGATTTATTTGCTTGAAGCTTGAAGCAAAGATCATTATAATGTAATTTAATTTTGATTAAAAAAAATGTTTTAATTCAAAACTAGTTTAATAAAAATATATAATTTTTTTTCTATTAAAAAAAAAAAAAAAAATAATTTTAATATATATATTTATATATATATATATATATATATATATATATATATATATATATATATATATATATATATATATATATATATATATATATATATATATATATATATATATATATATATATATATATTTATATATATATATATTTTTTGATTTAAAAAAGGATTTAAATTAATTAAATTTAAAGTTAATGCTTGGATTTAACTTAAATGTCAAATCTATTTAAAAATATTACAAATATTGTTCAATATTTAAATTTTATTTATTGTTAAAAAAAATTAGCTCATTTTTATCACAATTGCTTTTTCAGTTTTCTTTCCTAAACATTTTTTTCAACTCAAAATTGAATATTAAATAAACATGTTCTTAGGATGTATCAAGAATTTGCACAAAATGTAAGTTAAACTTATTTTTATAACGTGAGTAGAGTGCAGCAATTATTTTTTAATAAATGTTATATACAACATGTTAACAAATGGTTTTTGGAAAAATCTTTGTTTTCACAACGAAATCGCTAATAAAACAATAATCTTTTAATAAATAGAGTAGATAAATTAATTTAATTTTTTTTATTTATTACTATATAATTTTTTTGAAATAAAAAATCTTTTTTAGTTGCTAATTTTTAAAAATGATTATTTAAGAAATATATTTTAATTCATTTATCAAAATGTCAAGAAAAACAATTTGTTCATATAAATTTTTTTTTTTAATGTAATATTAAATTTAATTATTTAATATAGAAAAAAGAAAAGAGAATGAACGTTTCCTAATAATAATAATAAAAAGCGAGTTAAACAAGTTCAAAATATAAAAATGCGCTACAAAAACTTACCTAAACTTAAAAAAAATCTTAACAAACTAAAATAAAAAATTAGTTAAAGCAAAAACACAAAAGAGTATATATATATATATATATTTATATATATATATATATATATATATATATATATATATATATATAT